CTAGGGAGCTGGAAAAAAATTGACAATACAACATAATTCAAAGATAAGACATATAATACCAACTTCAATATAAAGAATTACAAATACAAACTGTGGAATGGAGAATGCAAAATTCAAATAAAAAAATTATTTCCAGCTGAGACATGGAGAAAGGCCATCAAGCTGAGGCTAAGGGAAACTAGGAATGCACATAAATGGCAATGGGGGGTGGAGTAGGGGTGGGGGGAGCGCATCCCAGCGGGAAACATTTTATGTGAAAAGTCACAGAACAGAAAATCTTGCTAAGAAAACAGCAGGTAAGTTACCTTGGACATTTGGCCCCATCAGCCAAATATAGAATTGAATGGAAGAATAATAAAAGATAAAGTCAGCTGGAATTAATGTATGAGAAGGCCTTGAAATCAGAGCCAAGATGTCAAAGTCTGTCCTGTCAAAAATTTTTGCAGCAGAGTCCCTTGGATAAAGAGCTGTGTTTTAGGAAAATTAATCTGACAAAAGTTTATAGGACAGACTTTAGAAGATGACCTCTGTTTTGTAACTAATATAATAGTTCAGCCATAATAAAAATCAGGAAGTAGCAAACAACAACAAAAAAAGAGAAACCTGAGAAAGTTGTAAAGGAAGAATCTATGATCCCTTATAAAAAAAACAAACAAACAAACAAACAAAAACAAAAACATTAAGTGATACTCTAGTCTTTCTAATTCTAGTCCAAACCTTTTAAAAGCCTGATGTTCAAACCGTTAGAATCTGATGATACCAAACTACCATTATAACATATTTGGAGGTTCCACATACTTCACAGATAAAGCTCTACACTGCTTTTGTAGGCAGAAAATCTGCCAAATTCACTTCTGCATTGCTCTTGACACCTAGACAAAGCACTGTAGGAACTAAGGGCATATCTGTTGATCGAAAAAAAGCTGCAAATAAATTCATTTTATGTGACTTCATTTTATCTATTCAAATGGATCTTTCATGGTTGCCAATAAGAAGGATACTTTGTCTATTTATCATTCTCCCGTAGTCTGTCGCCCTCCCGTAGACCTCAACTGCCTGCCTCTGTGCTTTTTGCTCATGCTGCTTCCTTTGTTTAGAATGATGAGCTCTCTTTTATTTACTATAGGATCTTTAAGGAAAATGCATCTGAGAGTCTATTTTTTCTGCCCAATTATAAGCTATTATCCTTTGTTATTTAAAGTCATAGTTAGAGTCTAGCAATTAATTACTTATTGTCTTAAAATTGAGCTCTACCTGTTTGCCAAACTAGATGCTCAGTTCTCAGAGTACAAGGCTGTGTAACCTAATCTCCATCACTGCATAGGTGCATAATAAGCATTAAATGAATGTTCTTGATTGATATCTCTCTACTTCACTTTGCTCCTTTAAAAGCAGTATCAAGTGGTGAGATAAATTGTGCTTCTATTAGAAAGAAGTTAGTGATGGTATACTCCCAGGCATGAGTATGAGGACCAATTTTCTGAGCATTCATTAGTGGTGGAAAGATGAGGTGAATAGTAAGTGGCAAAATAATTTGTTGAGGATGAGGAATTATATAGGTTAGCCACTGTTAGTGAGAATTCTAAGGACCTACTAGAAATAATTAGGAAACCTAATGGCAGATCTGATTGAACTTGAACAAAAGCAGGAAAATGTACATGGAAAGAAATCCAGGCCAAAGGTGATAGTGGTTCCAACCAGGGAGGTGATAGTTATTGATGGCGAGAACTGGCTGTATTAAGCATATAGTTTGAAGGTAGAACAAACAGAATATCCTGACAGATTAGCTGTGGCATATGAGTATAAAGAGAGGAGTTGAGGAGGACTCCAAGGCTTTGGCCTGAGCATCTGGAAGGATCAAGTTGAGACAGACAAGACTGTGAATAAGGTG